GTGACCTGTTTAGAGACTGCTGTGTTAGATTATAATCGGTCTGTGTGTGACCTGTTTGTGTTAACTTCTCGGGGGGGGGGGGGGGGGGTGTCCTATGTCTTTGTTTCCTTCTCAGTGTGTGCGTATCGTGTGTTTGTTAACTACTCCGTGTATGTGTCTTGTGTTAACTGCTCGTGGTGTGTCCGTCCGTTCATTGTCGCTGTGTTAGAGTCTCCGTAAGCGGGGTCTGAACCCTGCCCGACTGTGAGCATGAGCGAGGAGGAGGCGGAGGCGCGGGAGACGCCTCACTGCGCCACGTGCCGGCGGAGCGCCCTGGAGGGCCGCGCGCACTCCTTCACACGCGCACACGCGCGCCATGTGCACGCAGAGATGAAACGCCTGCGTGCAAAGGCAGGAGGAACTCGGTCAAACAGTCTCGGACTTGACACCCACGATTGCTCAACATGTCGAGTGACTTGAACTGAAGTGACCGATTCACATTGGCTCACGCTGACTCGCTCTTCTCTCTTCATAATCCATTAGCAAATGAATGCACGTTTAAATATGCACGCCATATCCTCCCTCCGTGCTGCTCGTGTGCAGGTGGAACTTGCTGTCCGTGAGCTGCCGACGCCTCGCGTGTTTACTGTGCAGCCGGGAGCGGCGGCTGAGGGAGACAAGGGTCAGGGAGACGAGGGCGACCGTGCGTTCTGGTGCCCCACGTGCCGTATCAGTGCCCGCATGCACGCACGGGACGGGAGGCTCGTGGTGGCACTGGCGGGCACCGTGCAGCACCTTGCCAGGTGGGACATGGGGACTCGGAGACAAAGGGGGACATGGGGACACAGGAACACACAGGGGCATGTGGGGCACACTTAAGCGCACTGTGCAGCACCTGGTCAAGTGGACATAGGACAAGTCAAAAATACACGAGCACACAGACGTGTGAATGCACAGGGGAGACAAGGACAAAGGGACACGCACATACTGTTTATCACTTGAACAGGTGGAACATGAAGACAGGGAGACAATAATTACATGCTTGGGGAAACACAGAGACAAGATTGGGAGCATACTGTAGGAACACAGGGGACACGGGATACACAATAGTACATAGCACCCTGCAACACCTGATCGAGTTTGACAAGGCACACGAAGGCACAAGAGGCAAGGAGAAATGGGAGGGGGGTGGCATGGCAAACTGGCACCTGTCATGTGGGATTTGGCACATTGGTCTTGTCACTACCATTTTGTGGTAAATAGCTTTTGATGAATGAATATTTTTAGGTGTGTGTATGTTCTAATGTAAAGTTGTTTTCCACAGTTTTGATGCCGTTGATACTGGTGTATGAGTTTCTGGCTTAAACATGGAACCTTACGAATCCTAAACGTATTAGTGTGACCCTTTGTATATTATAATAATGCAAATGGAAGTGTAATTATTTTTGCCAGATGTAGTGACATGACGCAAGCTATAATGTCACTATGTCTGGCTTGCTGTTGCTATTCTGGAAGAGACGCTGTTTATTAACAGGTGAATGTTTGTGCTTTGGTCACGCCTTTCCTGTCACAGCCCAGATCATGAGCGGAGCATCCACCGTTACTGGAAGGAAAATCACCTGGATCAAGGACTAAAGAAAAACTACCTCATCACCCCCATGCAGTGTAATAAGTACGATTCCTTCACCTGACTGGTTAAGACGAATCACTGGATGATCTAGTGATATTGGGTAGTCTAGAGGTAGCATTAAGTGATATAAAAATTATGCTTGGTGGTCTGGATATAAAACAGGGTGGTCAAAAGGTAGTGCTGGGTGGTCTACCAGTAGTCCTGGTGGTCTAGCGGTAGTGCTGGGTGGTTTAGTGATAGTGCTGGGTAGTCTAGCGGTAGTGCTGGGTAGTCTAGCGGTAGTGCTGGGTAGTCTAGTGGTAGTGCTGGTGGTCCAGTGGTAGTGCTGGGTAGTCTAGCGGTAGTGCTGGTGATCCAGAAGGTAGTGCTGGGTAGTCTAGTGGTAGTGCTGGGTAGTCTAGTGGTAGTGCTGGGTAGTCCAGCGGTAGTGCTGGGTAGTCTAGTGGTAGTGCTGGGTAGTCTAGTGGTAGTGCTGGGTAGTCTAGTGGTAGTGCTGGTGGTCCACTGGTAGTGCTAGGTAGTCCAGCGGTAGTGCTGGGTAGTCCAGCGGTAGTGCTGGTGGTCCAGTGGTAGTGCAGGATAGTCTAGCGGTAGTGCTGGTGATCCAGAAGGTAGTGCTGGGTAGTCTAGTGGTAGTGCTGGGTGGTTTAGTGGTAGTGCTGGGTGGTTTAGTGGTAGTACTGGGTGGTTTAGTGATAGTGCTATGTAGTCTAGTGGTAGTGCTGGGTAGTCTAGTGGTAGTGCTGGGTAGTCTAGCGGTAGTGCTGGGTAGTCTAGCGGTAGTGCTGGGTAGTCTAGCGGTAGTGCTGGGTAGTCTAGTGGTAGTGCTGGTGGTCCAGTGGTAGTGCTGGGTAGTCTAGCGGTAGTGCTGGTGATCCAGAAGGTAGTGCTGGGTAGTCTAGTGGTAGTGCTGGGTAGTCTAGTGGTATTGCTGGGTAGTCCAGCGGTAGTGCTGGGTAGTCTAGTGGTAGTGCTGGGTAGTCTAGTGGTAGTGCTGGGTAGTCTAGTGGTAGTGCTGGTGGTCCACTGGTAGTGCTAGGTAGTCCAGCGGTAGTGCTGGGTAGTCCAGCGGTAGTGCTGGTGGTCCAGTGGTAGTGCAGGATAGTCTAGCGGTAGTGCTGGTGATCCAGAAGGTAGTGCTGGGTAGTCTAGTGGTAGTGCTGGGTGGTTTAGTGGTAGTGCTGGGTGGTTTAGTGGTAGTGCTGGGTGGTTTAGTGATAGTGCTGGGTAGTCTAGTGGTAGTGCTGGGTAGTCTAGTGGTAGTGCTGGGTAGTCTAGCGGTAGTGCTGGTGATCCAGAAGGTAGTGCTGGGTAGTCTAGCGGTAGTGCTGGGTAGTCTAGTGGTAGTGCTGGGTGGTTTAGTGGTAGTGCTGGTGATCCAGAAGGTAGTGCTGGGTAGTCTAGCGGTAGTGCTGGGTGGTTTAGTGGTAGTGCTGGGTAGTCTAGCAGTAGTGCTGGGTAGTCTAGTGGTAGTGCTGGTGGTCCAGTGGTAGTGCTGGGTAGTCTAGCGGTAGTGTTGGTGATCCAGAAGGTAGTGCTGGGTAGTCTAGTGGTAGTGCTGGGTAGTCTAGCGGTAGTGCTGGGTAGTCTAGTGGTAGTGCTGGGTGGTTTAGTGGTAGTGCTGGGTGGTTTAGTGGTAGTGCTGGTGATCCAGAAGGTAGTGCTGGGTAGTCTAGCGGTAGTGCTGGGTGGTTTAGTGGTAGTGCTGGGTGGTTTAGTGGTAGTGCTGGTGATCCAGAAGGTAGTGCTGGGTAGTCTAGTGGTAGTGCTGGGTGGTTTAGTGATAGTGCTGGTGGTCCAGCAGGTAGTGCTGGGTAGTCTAGCGGTAGTGCTGGGTAGTCTAGTGGTAGTGCTGGGTGGTTTAGTGGTAGTGCTGGTGGTCCAGCAGGTAGTGCTGGGTAATCTAGCGGTAGTGCTGGTGATCCAGCAGTAGTGCTCGGTGGTTCTAGAGGTAGTGCTGGTGGCCTAGCGGTAGTGCAAGTGGCCTATAAGTGGTGCTAGTTTTTGCATTGTTAAGCGTCGTTGTAAACATTTCTGAGTGTGTCATCTGTGGGGAGGGATGTTAAGCTGGATGTCTGAATTCAGGTTCCTAACGGCTGCGGGTTTAGCTCTGTCTGCCTTCGAAGAGGAAGAGGAGAGACTTCTCAAAGAGGTAAAGTAATATAAATACATAAAATCAACACAAACAGGGTGATTTGTCCCATGACCAAATCACCCAAAATGTGCCCAATATTTCCAGAACTTGGAAGCTAAGCAGCATTGAGTGTTTAGTACTTGGGTGGCCTGGAAATACCAGGTGTTGTAGAATTGGGCCGAACATTAATTCTATCTTGATTTAAAGCTTTTGTGACTGCAGGGATTCATATTCTTGGTTCTTTCGGTAAAGTCACGTAGAAGGGAAACAATAAAATAAGAAAAATATAAAATAATAAAAACCGTAAAAAAACCACCACTTTTTTCAAATTTTCTTGCTGTGGTTTTCACACCTGATGATGATTGCTTGTGTTGCAGTCTAAATGTCGTGAGAATTTTATTGTTTTATATTTTAATTATTTTATTGTGTCACTGCTACGCGACTTTACCGAAAGAACCAAGAATATTAATTCTATCATTAACTTAATTAGTTAAATAAAGTTTGTGGAAATGTACTTGTTGTGTTTGTCGCTGTATGAATGGTATATATATATATTTGATTATATCTGTTGATCAGAATCAGAAACTTTATTTATCCTGGAAGAATCTGATGAGCTATGCAGCTCTTTTTTCAAAGACGTCCAGTTGGGGCGAGTCAGCGAGTTACATCAACAAACAATACAAAGGCGAATGAGTGTAAAATAGATATGTATTATTAAAAGTAAAAATTCCACAAGAATATAAATTCCTCCCGATTTGTCAACACCAAATGCAAGCTTGGGCATGGCAGCAAAACAACAAAAATAGTCCGAGACCATACCAAGTCAACACGCGATTAAATTGCACGTTAAAATTTAACTATCAATACATGGGTAAGGTTCAAAGTTACAAATCAGTTTGGCAAATGTGGCTGTATCTGGCACTAATCTTCTGCTTCAAAATATTTTTGAAGGAAGATTTATGATGTTAATGTCAGAACAAGGTTGTTCCAAAACGTTGGTGCTGCAAATGTGTGTGTTATATCTGAATCTGATCAGTACCTGCCCTAGGTAAACTCATTCTAAAATAAATATCTGGTGCAATAGTCGGGTCATAAACATCAGCACTGAGTGTATATGGTCCTGCCTCCATTACCACCCCCTTGTGGCCGTAATAGGGACTCTCTTAACAGCCCTTGTCCTACAAAGTGTATAGGGCTGAAGAGGATGGATATTTTATTTTTCAGGAGGCGGAATTAATCAGGCAGCAAGAAAAGAAGAGACAGGAGCTAATGTCATCGCTGAGCGAGGTAACTGTTGGGTTTACATGTATAGGGGACTACACAGGGAATTGATGAAATACTGTAAGGGACCGTATAGGGAATTGATAAAATACACGTTGTAAACACAGGTGGCTGGATATCTAACATCCGGAGAGAAAGGCACTGTAGCAACGGACGACCGATGGTAGCTAATTAGGGGTCGGGTGAGAGAGAGATATAAAAATGGAGCGTCGCTGAGGTCGGGGCGCTAGAGGAGCCGAAGACGAGTCGGTGGCTCCACTGGAGTAGTACTCGTACGAGAATAAAGATCGAATATTTATGAACGTCTCAACGGAGCTCCTTTACACATGTAAACTTTCATTAAACGCCCTGAAAGCAACGCCAGTGCCTTCCTTAACAAAATTGACTTCACTGAGCTGGATGCAAGCTCATTTACCAAGTCTCCTTTGTGGTGGTGGTTGTACTTCACACCTTCAGCTGAACCACTCTTGAGCAAGGGCTGTTTGGTGGCTGAAAATTGTTGAATCAGCTCTAACCAAGATACTGGTAATGTGTGTGAGATGTCCACCTGCTGGGCTATTCGGGAAGTGTTTGGGTTTCTGACTGGAGGTTTAAGAGTTTGCTTGTGTATTGACTGCATGTATTACACATATATGTGTTAGTGGTGTGGCAAATTTGTGTTTGTTACAGGACTGGCCAGGAGTGACTCCACTGAGTTCAATGGATCCCAGGTATCCTCAGTCTCCCTCTTGATACATCGTTTATTTACCCAGGAAAGTCTCACCGAGTCTAAAGATTTTTTTTTTTCAGGAGGGTCCAACATTGGTATGTTTCGTCAAAACAGACTTTTTAAAGTCAAATGAGAACCTAATGAAGCTACATTTTCACGATTGACATTTAGCAATAAAATAAATCGTTATACTAAACATTAAGCAAATAAAAAACACTTTTTTTTACAGCCACGTTAGTTCACTCGTATATGAAGTCCTCCCCTTGCCATCTGTCATTGGGGTTGATTGACCATACTTCACCATGGTGGTCAGTTTGGGTTAGTTAAAGGGTTCCCAGGATGAGTTCACTAAACAGTGATAGTAAATGGTAGCCGGAAGTTGAACTCAGGTTGTTGGGTTTGTTGAGAAGTGTGATAACCATTTACACAACCACGCTACAACATTGGTCACAATAAACTAGTTTAATTTCAAATATATTATGATTTGTAATATTCAGCCATATGTTCTTAACAAAACCCAACCAGGAAGTTTAACTAAGCAAGGAACATCATAACGTCATGGCAAAGGGCATCTCCCATCCACGTGATGTCACGACCGGTTCCTGGGTCTGCCTGAGTAAAAATGTGTAATTTGGCAAAATAAGGGATCTCATCAGCCAGTTTTAGAACTCCATGGGATTGGTTGTCAGGTTAAGCTGCTGTGTACAGGCTGGCTTCCTGGTCCAGCTCGTAGTTGGCACCTGGCCAGTATGGTTTCCCCCAGGCTTAGAAATTAGGCAAAAGGCTCATTACTCTGGCTACAGCCATGGGTTGGTTCTGAACGTTGTCAGTATGCCTTTGAAAATGTGATGGCACACAAAACACAGTTCTCGTAAAAACCTACCATGGTTATCTTTTCTGGACTGTCTCAAATGAGCTTGAAATGTTATACTTATGTATGTTGGCCTAGGACTTTAATTTTAAACGCAGTATGAGATATGGATAAAAAGCACTTACCTTAGTAATTTGTGTTAATGAATATTGGCTGTCCGCTTGATTGCCTGCCTGGGTGACTCGCTGGCTGATCATCTGGTTAACTCACTGACCAGCCTTGATAAGTGACTTCGTTGCCTCTGCTTTCAATAATTGTTACTGATATGGCCCTTGCCTTTGTGTGCCACTATGACCCATATTTGTATGTATCTTTTGTCTTCCCCATGGCCTGTATATCTGTGCAGTGCACAGTCTGAATTGCATGCATCAGATTCTTCAGGACCCATGTCCACTCATGTCCACAAGGTAATGGGGAATTGTGTTCGACACAGACTTTCTGGCACCTCAACCAACCAAACAACGGGCTCTACAGAGCAGGCCTGATTACAGGCTGTTCACACAGCAGACCCGACTAGAGTCTGTATTTTTGTATGGCCTGGCTCTGGGTATCAATCAGGCCGTCTTGAGAGAATCTTATGGGCCGCCCCGCCTTAACTCGAACCTATAAGAGAGGGCGGGGTTCTGCCTCCCTATTTTCTCTCCGCTGGCTTTTTTTCTCTCCTGCCGTTGTACGTTTTCATTTTTTTCATTTTTGTTTTCTTTATCTCTGTTTTTGAGGTGAAGAGATCTTGCCTATGCAGCAGGGTCTTATCCTTGGCGGTTAGACATTATTTTCCCCAATTGTCTGGGTACGGACCACTGTATGTTTTCCTGCCCTGCGTGTTTGTTGTATCTGTAAGTAATGACTGGGTGCTTCCATGGCTTTCAACAATATCCATATTTACCTATGTACTAAAGTGTACATTAACAGTAAACTAGGCTACAGGATGTATGCACAGCACACCAGATGGAAGATTCACATGTGTTGTTGTTGCTGCTATTGACAGGTGCTTGAGAAGCCCAGGGGAAACATCCATACAGGTGACATATCTCTTGCTTTGTGATTGTATTATATCCTAGTTTTGTTTACAATGTTTACGCTACCATGTCCCACTGTCACTGTTAGCGTCTGGACAGCTATATTCAGCTCCAGGGTTTGAAACCAGGATCATAATGCGGTCATTTTGCGATTCCACTATCAAAATACACATGTATTCACTCGTTGCCATTAGTACTTTGATAAAGTATCACAATTCGTTGTCTTGATTTGGTTCAATAATTGTTTTCCCTTGTTTTTACCATGTTTGTATTGTTTCCAATCGCTTTGTCTCATTTGTATCATTTTGTTACTGGATTCGCTCTAAATGCAACGTTGCATTTAACATGAATAAAAATGTTGTTGCTACACTCTTATTAGTGCATGAATTATTACTATATGCATAATTATTACTCGATGCATTGACACATTGTTACACGTCTAAGAAAGTGGCTCCCAGCTCCAGGAATTGAACTCAAGACTTAGTTGTGCTGGTTCATTGCCCCTTTTGCCATTATAAGCTTCCAGAGAAAACATCGAGGCAACTAGGGTGCTGGTAGTTGACCAAGAAGATTTCTCACCAATATTTGTGGATTTTTGAGTGTTACTTCCTAAGTGTGTTAGTATCTGCTGGTCACATGAGTCCTGTCCTCCAATGTAAAGCAAAACATTACTCAACAAGTGTTTGAGCAAACTTTCCTAGTAGGCATGTCCTGCTAAAGAGGCTTGGTGATCTGTTAAGGCTGTTTAGGTAAGTAAATAATATTTTAATGACGACATTGTTTTTTTCCTCAATAGGTGCAACGCCTCCTTGGCTGATGGATGACGATGGTGGTGGCACAAATGGTGGTGATCGTGGCGGTGATGATGACACCAAAGAACAGAGGGACGTGAAGGCACCTATGATCGGGCCTTCATATGAGGCCTTCCTCCATCACCGTGAGTGGTAGTTGAGCTGATTTAACCAATAAACAATATTAGGTGCCAGTTAGTGCAATATAATCCAAATCTGAGAATGAAACCTTAAGAAATTTCACATGACGAATGAAACAAATGGAAAAGCTTAAAATTTTAAACAAAATGTAAGTAATCTTCTTCCTCCGCTTGAGCATGTCACTGAATTGGTCAGTGTGCATAGCTTTTCCACATTGACTTGCCACTCTCGAGTTCTCGCCACTATCTTCCACTTACTGCACATTGCACTCCATCTTTTTCTTGGAGGGCCCCTCGGTTTTTCCCATGTAATTCAATTATTATACCCATACGCTTTGGTTCTTTCGGTAAAGTCACGTAGGTAGGTGGGAGAGAGAGAAGACGATTGCTTGTGTGGCGATCAAAACGTCGTAATCTATTATTATGTCTACCTACGTGACTTTACCGAAAGAACCAAAGAGTATGGATTCCTGCAGTCACGAAAGCTTAAAATCAAGATTGTTATACCCCTCTTTTGCTAGCCTATTGCACTTCGTTATTTTCATGTCTGTATCATTCCACCATGCTCGTTATATGTTCCCTATTTAAAGTTTTTTGCTTTTATTATTGGTGACCCAAGTCACTTTTGCCAATGAGACTTTCCTGGTCTCCTCAGTTCTCACCTGGTTAACTAAAACAAACTTGATCTTGCCCATCTTATTTGTATAGCTGAATAGAGAAACCTCTATTGTATTTAAAACTATATTTCCAGCTTTGCTTATGTGCAAAGATATATGGCTGTATATATAAATGATTGTATCTACATATAGGTTGTGGTATGTGTGGTTATGTGTGTGTGTATATCTGATAGCATATGTTGGTGTGTGTGTCTGCCCAGGTGCTCAGTCACGCCAGACGCCTCTCCCTCCCGGCCGTGTCGGGGCCACGTTTGACCGCTTGGCCGCCGCCAGTGATCCCGCGTGGCTCCCGCAATTCAGCAATGCCTGGAACACGGGCAGGCGTGGCCCCCAGCGGTAACATCACCAACAGCATCAACACCAATAACACCATCTCCCACAACATCAACACCATCGCCAACAATGGCATCCACACCACCAACAATATCCAAACCATCAACACCATCACTCACAATACCAACATCAACACCATCCACACCATCACAAACAACACCATCACCAACAACATCAACACCATCACCAACAACATCTACACCATCAACATCAAGACCATCGCCAGCTTCATCAACACAATAAACAAAATCAACACCATCACCCAAACATCAACACCAGCAACATCATCATCATCAAAAACATCAACACCATCATCAAAACATCAACACCATCATCAACAACATCACCATCACTGACAAAAACAGCAGTTCAATCATGAGCAACGTCATCACCATTATTGACAACATCTCCGACAATATCAACACCATCAATTACAACGGTAACACCATCACTGATGAAAGCATCAACACCATCACAAACATTGCTTCCACCATTAAGGCCACCAATATCGTTGATGCAATCAATACCATATATTTCATCAACATAATTACTGACAGCATCTATGTCATTGACATCAACATATACACCATTATATTAAGGCTGCGATGTGTGTCTCTCTCGTCTCTTGCACAGGTTAAGGCACCAGAAGAAGAGAGATTGGCGTGGTGAGGAGTGGGAGAATGGTCACAATGGCTCATGATTCTCTTTAACTTAGGCGAGCATGTCTGTTGGATAATCTGGGGCAAGAGTTCTGCCATCATTCTTATATTTATGTTGGGATTTGTGATTAATTATAGTTGACTTAAAGAGACTCATATTTAAGTGAAAATATCAGAAACCACCAGCCACAGCAACCAATCTCATAGAATCCTCTAAACAAAATAAAAATGTTTTGTTTTCCCTGAAAAATAACTCTTATTCTCCCTGATAAGACTGGCTTTCGAACCTGATTTATAATCGTGTTGCTAGATTTTTTTCACGTGACATGTATGGCTGTAACATTTGAAACTCTTAAGGCAACACATTTTTCTGTTGAAACACTTTCATAATGCACACACCATGACTAGTATATTCCTTATAGCCAATAAACTTCAAACCAAGATCAAGTGAATTATGTGACTAAATGACACGTTTTGTGACGACTTGAAGCTGCATTCATTCCTCTGCTGCACAATTGACAATTACAGTTATCCTATTCTCACTTGCTTTTTAAAATTGAAACTTGACTGTACATTTTGTTGATGTTACTATGAGAAATGTGTTCCAGCTTTGCAGTACTTATTTATTATGTATTTTTTATTTAAGAAACCCTATTGAATGTAAAGTATTTTTGAAGAGTTTTTGAATGTGTGGCCCACTGCTTTAATGATTTATTTTTGGGGGAGAGCTTGAGTTTTTGAAAAAAAACGCACGCAGGGAAACCAGGCAAGGCAGACCTGGTCCCAGGGGCACTCGACCTTAAACTTTAGAAAATGTTTTTTTTTTTAATATGCCGTGTGTAATGAGACGTTACATGTGATGCCATAACCTTGTTTATAAATAATTGAACTTAAACCGTTTAAGCCCAGTGACGTGTGCAAAACAAAGGTCACGTTCTCTGAGAAACTTGGGGATATACGTTGGGAATGACACAGTTGTAACACGGCAGACGATAAATTCATAGTCTGACGGCGATTGAAAATGGAGCGGGACCGATGAACCAGAATTACTTTATTATTTTATGATTGATAGTGCGTTAAACACTGCGGCACCGCGACCCACCCTACCCCCTCCTGTTTATACTGTAAATGTAAACATGAGAAACGTTAAGGGTCGGGCAATGTCTGCCGTGCGCCTGGGTTATCTGGAGACGTCGCCTCCAATAAAAACAACGCAGACTCCTTCACATGTGCACCTTCGTATAGAATATATGCACGTATTTTGAGCATGCACACAATCTGTAGGTGCATTTTAATAAGCAATGTTTGGACCGGTTTTGAAATTCAGTGTCAGGCTGTCTTTGTCCAATCATCAACATCCAGAAGGACCCTAGTTAAGACGGAAAACGAATACATAACAAACTAATCATTTTGAATGTGGCGGGACATTGAACGAGGCTTATTGTCTGATTATTTATTTTGTTACTTATATTCTCAACAACGACGCTTCTGATTATGCTGTGATACCGATCACCCAATTATGGGTGTCATTCACACCTATATAAGACGAATAAACCCATTGTCCGCCATATGAATATCAAGAAGACGCCTCACTATTTCATTCCATTCCAGAATATAATCACAAGGTTGGTAGATCTATTCCGGAATAATTTGTTGTGCTGTTCTAGTTAATTTCGGGCCGAATTAGGACCCATATCTCAAGAGATTCCTTGACTATGTCTGGCGATTCGGCAGCATTAACACAAGCAGACCCGACTGCTGATCAGATCCTGTGTGTAGGGAGCGGTAGTGTAGCGGTTAACGCTACGAACCCGGCCAGCCGAGTTCGATTCCCACTCACGACCCAACACCAGTGATGATTAATTATCTGAACCGGTCCTGGGATTCACCGAGGTCGACTCAGCCTAAAATGAGTACCTGGCGCGGCGTGTAAAAACATCGCCACTGGGGGAGACAAAGGCGGTCGGGCGTGGTGCTGGCCACCCACCCCCTCGCGTGCCGTTCTGGCCGCCTTCACAGGTGCTACTCGCTAACAGCACTTGCCCCAACAGTCTGTTAAGGCTATACGGGGGCGGGGATCTTTGTTGTTGTAGTAGTAACCGTTCCAGTTTATGTTGAATAAATGCTGCTGCAACCATTCACTCGTCAAGAGGCTGTGGAGTTGTGTAGGAAATGAAAGACGTGGATTCTTTACCGTGGAGAGACAGGCCGACAGCGCTGAGCGCGGAACTTCCGCGTGCGTTCTCGCGCGCGCGATCAGCTGACACGCCACGATGGGAATCGATTCCGTTTTTATGTTTAGGTTCGATGGACCATTCGATTTCTCGATAATCCGCCGACAGTCAGACCCCCCTCAAATATGACGTCACAAAGCTCTGCCCCCCCCAAAAAAAACAATATAAAACATGCTTCAAATCGCTTTAAACTATTGTCATTGTAGTGCGTATTTAATGTGGCGCTGCACTCTGATGTTGTAGGAGAAAACATTAATTAACAAAGTCTATTGAATGAAGTAGAACGTGTTGTCTATTTAAAGTTGCACATCGTCACATATGTCTGACCCCCCCCCCCCCCAGGTGCGTGACGTCATTTATGGACGGCCCCTAACGCATTTAATCGATTGTGCGTTGAAGTTTAAAGTTTAAAGTTGGGTTTGTTCAGCCAGGTGGGGGCCTCTTGCAGAGGCCACGACGAAGTCTCATTTGCAAGGGAAGACCTGGCTCACTTAAATGACAAAAGCAATATCATGTTTATTGTACAGCAGAAGGCCAAAAGCAATAACCGTGTTATTGTACTGCAGTTTAGCAAATAGAAATTCGTGGAAGAAAAAAAAACGCATTAACAGAGGAAATAGTAAATATCCATATACGGTACAATACAAAACGCTCAACACATTCGTCAACAACACTGGCCTTCAAAGGAAAAGTACATACTGTACTGTAATAGGCGACGTTTCGAGCAATGGCCCAGCACACACGTGGATCATTGCTGGAAGCGTGGCATGTTTTTTTCATCCCTCTCAGACCCACAATGTTATTGACGAATAATGTGTGGAGGGGTTTTTTGTGAAGCAGGAAGGTGCGGGGCCTAAAGAGGAAGGGGGCGGGGCCTAAATGAAGAGGGGGCGGGGCCTATAGAGGATTCAACATCCATGTTGATTTAATGTGAGTTGAAGCGTATAGCATCAGGCACAGCATATTTATCATAATCTTGATTTAGACATCCGGAAGAATCCGAGATGTGTCGAGAAATGCGAGGAACCACAGGCAAGCTCTGCCGTCCTCTATATATCAAGATATCACCGTCCAATTAATTAATTAATTAATGCGGATCAGCAGCAGAGCTTCAGTGTCGCGTATGCGACAACATCGCTCGATCCAGGAACGCGATGCGGCGATTTGTTCGCCTTGGATCGCAGGGCCATGGAATCGATGCGCGGTGTTTTAGGTTGAGTTGAGCCGCACGCCGTCGTTGTGGGTCCTGTGGCTGCTCTCGGTCGGCTTGGTGGTGGTGGTAGTGGTGGTGGTGGGCTTGGTGGTGGTGGTGGGCTTGGTGGTGGTGGTGGTGGGCTTGGTGGTGGTGGTGGGCTTGGTGGTGGTGGTGGGCTTGGTGGTGGTGGGCTTGGTGGTGGTGGTGGGCTTGGTGGTGGTGGTGGTGGGCTTGGTGGTGGTGGTGGTGGGCTTGGTGGTGGTGGTGGGCTTGGTGGTGGTGGTGGGCTTGGTGGTGGTGGGCTTGGTGGTGGTGGTGGGCTTGGTGGTGGTGGTGGTGGGCTTGGTGGTGGTGGTGGTGGGCTTGGTGGTGGTGGTGGGCTTGGTGGTGGTGGTGGGCTTGGTGGTGGGCTTGGTGGTGGTGGTGGTGGCGGCAGGGGGGAGGAGATCTCAACGCAGTCTCCCGTTGTGGCGCTCCGCGGTGGAGGAAGCCACGACCGGTTGGTTGGTTGTTTGGTTGGTTGTTTGGTTGTTTGGTTGTTTGGTTGCGTCTCCCGCACAGCCACAGAACGAGAGGCGACGGCAATGGAGACGCTGGAACCCCACGGCCTCGACGCCGAAGGTAACGGCGGCTACTGCTGCTGCTGCTCCTGCTGCTGCTCCTGCTGCTCCTGCTGCTGCTGCTGCTCCTGCTGCTGCTGCTCCTGCTGCTGCTGCTCCTGTTGCTGCTGCTCCTGTTGCTGCTCCTGCTGCTGCTGCTCCTGCTGCTGCTGCTCCTGCTGCTGCTCCTGCTGCTTCTCCTGCTGCTGCTCCTGCTGCTTCTCCTGTTGCTGCTCCTGCTGCTGCTCCTGCTGCTCCTGCTGCTGCTCCTGCTGCTCCTGCTGCTGCTCCTGCTGCTGCTCCTGCTGCTCCTGCTGCTGCTCCTGTTGCTGCTGCTGCTCCTGTTGCTGCTGCTCCTGCTGCTGCTCGTGCTGCTGCTCCTGTTGCTGCTGCTGTTGCTGCTGCTGCTGTTGCTACTGCTGCTCCTGCTGCTCCTGCTGCTGCTCCTGCTGCTCCTGCTTCTGCTGCTGCTCCTGCTGCTTCTGCTGCTGCTCCTGCTGCTGCTGCTGCTCCTGCTGCTGCTGCTCCTGCTGCTGCTGCTCCTGCTCCTGCTGCTCCTGCTGCTGCTGCTCCTGCTGCTGCTCCTGCTCCTGCTCCTCCTGCTGCTGCTCCTGCTGCTGCTGTTCATGGCCGTGGCGTGAAATGTCACTTCGCGTCTCCGTGAGCGTCTCGGCGTCCCGTTTGTGCATCAGCTCGCGTGCGGTGCCCTCGCTCCTTGCCCGCCCTCTAACCCGACGCGTTCTGTGTCCGCGGCCGCCGCCGACGTGCGTAGTCAAAGTGCACAACTCCGCTGCTGGATGGAGGCAGTCTTCGACTCCCGTGTCTGTATTAATAAATGCACGCTCGTCAACGACTGTGCCAACCCCCCTCGTGTGCCGTGACCTTATAGGTGCTCGCTAGTATCACTTGCCCTGACAAGTCTGTTAAGCCCTTCACGAGAGATCTTTGTTCTTTGTTATTATACTTCCTCATTAAAAAACAAATCACAGAGCTTCCCTGCTGCTCAAATGAGATGTTGATGCTCATCTGATAACTTCCCTGCAGAACCAGTGGTAGACATTCCACGATCCTTCGGCGAGGACGAGTCCTTTGCTCCTGGTTCTCGCGTTTCGACCCACATTAATTGGCCAACAATACTTGAATATGTAGAGGACTGCAGATCTTGGGTAATTGTTGGCGCCAACCCCACCGCCTAGCTGCTACCATCACACTTGGGAGTGGTTCCTCTCGCATTTCTGAGTCATTCTCTTTCCTCCAGAGTGACCATATACTTTGCACTTTACAAGTTCAAATTAGTGTTATCACGGAGTGTTGGACGGTACGTACCATATATACTTTTGTATATACTGTAGGAGTTTTATTATGGATTTAATTTGCCATAAGAATGTGGAATTCCCACCACTGGATCGGCTGTGAAGGAAGATAAACCCCATACTCTTTGGTTCTTTCAGTAAAGTCACGTAGGTAGAAAAAAAAGAAATCACGACGTTTCGATCGCAACACAACACAAGCGGTCGTCCTCGGGCGGAAAAAAATAATCCAGAAGTGGAACTGCTGAACCAGCGAGAGAGCTGTTCCAACACAAGTGACGTGCTTGCGTCCGGGGATGGAATTCCTTTCCAGCTCAGACCCCCGCTTGCCTGCCCATCACCACATAAATAACTTCTTGCTGTAACAGCTCTCTCGCTAGTTCAGCAGATCCACTGCTGTATTATTTTTTCCGCCTGAGGACGAACGCTTGTGCTGCGATCAAAACGTCGTGATTTCTTTGTTTTTGTTTTATTTTATTAACTTTTTCTACCTGCGTGACTTTACCGAAAGAACCAAAGAGTATGGATTTCTGCAGTCACGAAAGCGTCAAATCAAGATAAATACTGCCCAGCATCCATTTTATCTTTGGGGCACTTTGTCTAGTTTTTAAGGTATTGTCTAAGTATTTATTTTTTGTTGAATGTCTTAGGAACTGAAACCCTTCCTGCTGCGTCTGATGCAGCAAATGGTACTGACAGTGAGTCATATTTATACAATTTGTATTGAACATTTTCGATTTATTTTTACTTTTTCACAATCTCACCCATGCGTTGTTTAATTGTTGTTTAATGATTTAGGAACTGAAACCCTTCCTGGTGTGTCCGATGCTGAAATTGCGGCCGAAAGTGAGTTATAAGATTCATACAGTCTTTTCATGCTCGGGTTATTTTGACCAACTCGCAATCTCATTATTACTTTACAAGTTTGAACAGAGAACTAACATTCTGTTATAGTAAAACTACAATGCCCTTCACCCAGAAAAAAAGCCTCCCACAAGACAAGTTTTAACGAGGGTCCTGCAATGAGCTGTGACCAATTCATTTGTTTCTGGTAGGAATTAAGAGTACCTAGAGAAAAAAAAACAATGCTAAAAGATCTGCACAGATAGGCTGAATAATCCATTGCTGTATTGCTATCTTCTGGCCACACACCTGACATCTGCTGGAAAGATGAGCCAATATTTCACACCGTTCCATCTGCCACACAGAGACCCGCCATTAAGTCTTTATCCGATACAGCCACTAGGCTGCATTTCCTACAGCCGTATTATTGGTGAGTGAATGGTTGAATCGTTGCATCTGCCTGATGAGCCCCGAGAGCTGGGCTCAACTTGAATAAAACGCAACACCAGCTTTACATGAGGTAGGATTTTCTGCGAATTAGGTTCCTGGCTGAGCCCATTAAGGACCTCGTTTATTCCACAAGTGACTCAAATGTGGATTCAAGTTGGTGAACACCGTGGTCTTGGCTTAGTGCTTTGATTCCCTTGAAACAGAAATGCATTCATTCCCAGGGCTTAAACGCTGGCTGCAAGATGAACTGGCTTAGTGGCCATTATGAACATATTAGAGATATCTTATATAGATGTATATGTCGCCTTAGTGCAAGGCGCTTTACAATAATTATACGTAAGGTTAAATTTTGATTTAAAGCTTTCGTGACTGCAGTGATTCATATTCTTGGTTCTTTCGGTAAAGTCACGTTGAAGCGAAACAATAAAATAATAAAAAATATATAAAACAATAAAATTCTCACGACGTTTCGACTGCAACACAAGCAGTCATCATCAGGTGTAAAAACCAACGGCAAGAACATTTGAAAGAAGTGGCGGTTTGTATTTATTTATTTTTAATGTTAGCACCACGAAAATAAATAAATAAATATTCATGAACCGCCACTTCTTTTAAATGTTCTTGCCGTTGGTTTTCACACCTGATGATGACTGCTTGTGTTGCAGTCGAAACGTCGTGAGAATTTTATTGTTTTATATATATATTTTATTATTTTATTGTTTCCCTTCAACGTGACTTTACCGAAAGAACCAAGAATATATATGTAAGGTTGTAGGGGTTAAAATAAAGAGTGGGGTTGCTAAAAGTGTTGGTGTGGTTATGGTAACAGGAGGACAGGTGGGAGTGGTTAAGGAGGGTTTGGGGTAGGCCTGGTCCCCTAGCTTGGGGGTGGGGGCAGGGAGTATCAGTAGGATGGGCAAGGCAGAAGAAATGGATTTTGTAACATTAGAGATGCTGTATCAGTATGGTGTTGACCATCATCCTAAAGGAAATGTGCAGATATGGGGTGTAGCACAGACCCTCAAACTTGCTTAATGGCATCACAGAGCCATTATGAACCACCTGGCAAATTGTGAATGTCGTGTTTGTGTGTAGGAAAGCGAGACTGGAGGAATTTTGCTGGATTTTGGTGAGTAAATTGAACAACTCTAGAGCATTCGCATTCCATTCCCATTTGTACCCATATGGAACCTTTAGAAGAGTTGCTTCATTCACCTTGTTAATTAATGTGTACGTGAATGACTGAATTGTTGAATGAATGGGTGTTATATTGATGAAAAGTAAGTAAATAAAATGCCTATTCTACAGGATCTTGGGTCTCACCAACAACTTTGCATACGTGGTGATGTTGAGCGCTGCCCATGACATCCTAAAACAGCAGGAAGCAGGGAACAACACGCACACCAACAGCAGCAGCAGCAGCTTCATGCACGACACATCACCTGCGGTAACAGCACACTACCATATGCATTTTACCATGTGCCGTAATGCCATACAAGCTATAATGTGTACAACAAGTACCGTAAACTACACCTATACCCATTCATGAAGTTGCACACTATTATATGTCTTATTTCATTTACATTAACAAGTACCATACATTGCACCTTAAGCCTTCACTTTGCCACACGCAATATCGCCGCCGGACACTACCGTATTGCTGCAGAGACAGTGTGCGATGGACCCCTGTAGCACAACAACCAGTTCCAAGCAACACGTTTCGTGGGACTATTCCCATAGTTCCCCTCATTTTAATGAAATAAATTATTTGGTCATACTGCGCTGTCAGGGGTACATAAGCACAAATTAAAAAAACATTGACGGATGTGTAGTGACGTAGAATTGGTCACTAAGCAGCATAGCGCTGGCTGCTGGCAGGGAAGGGGATCTGCAGCTTGAAGCAGCCCTCACTGACAGCAGGCCACGTGATAGACCCGAGAGGGATCTCGGGGAAAGGTTACGGAAGGGACACGTCGAGAGCCCGCTAGTAGGTTCCGGAAGGGGGGCGTGGCCGGGGCGGAGCGAGGCCACGCTAACAGGATAAGAAGGGCCCCGGGAGGGGACCTCGAGGCTGTCGTTTGGAGTGGGATCCCCGTCGTCGTCGTCGCTGCTGAAGATCGTCGCCATAGCCGCTGTCGTCTCCACTTGATAATCGCGCTGCTAGACACAGTTGGCTGTCTTAGTTCAGCGCCGCCAGTGTCAGACTGCTAGCGTCGTGTTGTAGGCTCGCAACCAGTGTAGAATTGCGTATAAGCGAGAGACAGAGTGTGTAATAGTGTAGGGTGTGTATTGTATAAAGTGTACAAAGTGTGCTCGGTGTTTCATTAAATAATTTCCTCTAAGAAGTTACGTCTCCAAGGCAGTCACTACAGATGTATTCAGTTTTTTTCATTTTAATGAGCTCATAAGTCTCAATTCTTCTCCTGCAGACACATACTGAGAGTTGGGAGCTGATTTCATCCAACCGCTTTGACTGCAACCCAAATTCAACTGCGGTGAGAGAGCGCGTGTGTTTCTATGTATAAGTGTCACTATCTGTTTAGGCTGGGTTGTATGTTCGTCATATTGATGATGTATATCGCATTTAAATAGCTAAACATCTCAATGCACTTTTCAGGACAATCATATCAACATATGATTGTCCTGAAAGTAAAAATAACAAAATAAACAAAGCCCTGAGTTAGGCAAACCATGCAGAAGCCATTTTGTGCACTGTAACCCCACGCAGATGGTGAATTGTTTTGTGATGTGTGATGATTGAGGCAATAACATATCTAATTCTTGCAGCCAGGGGAGGAAAGCTTAAGTCTTACGCCGGGGGAGAAACGCTTAATCCTTAAGCCGGGACTTACAGAGGCAACCAGCAGCACCGACAGCCCGGGGAGAGAATTCCAAACACCAGGGCTGGCAGGGGAGGAAAAGAGACCCCCCACAATTGTGAGGTTGATTTTGGTCTTTACTAAGAGGCCGAAGCTGCTGGAGCAAAGTCTACAAATATCAGAGTAGAATGAGAGGAAAGACATAGACTGGAGCAAGACCATTAAGGATCTTAATAGCAGTGAAGGTGGTTTTGTAACCGTTTTGGAGTTTGAATTGGGATTTGGTAAAGGAATTTTAAAAAATGTGATACGTGCTCTTTGATCTGGGTTTGAGTCAGAAGCCTGGTGGTAGCATTCAGGACCATCTGATATTTTGTAGAAAGGGGTTTAGGGAAGCTAAATCATGAATTTGGTTTTCAGCAGCAAAAAGGGTTGACATTTCTGATATGCGGATAGCCTGAAAAGAAAGCTCTGTAGCAAAGGTACTACCAAGGTTAGAGACATTTTCAGAGGTGGGTAAATGGGCATGGGTTGTGCTTAGAAGATGAGCTGAAATGATCAAAGAAGACTTGGAGCTAAGTGGACTTTACACTGGCTCCTAAAGTGGTGCCCTGGGTAGGCGGGGTGTCATTAAAGGCACTGCTGAGAATTTTCAGGCAGTTGCCCTTCAGCAACAATGGAAGGTGGGAGGGGTGATACAACAATGAGCAGAGCATCAGATGCATACAATACATCAATTAGGCATAGTGGTGAGCGTAGTTGGTATCGTTTGCCAGTCATCTCTCTCTGTTAACCCATAACACTTTGGTCCTGCCCCCTGAATTTCATGGTTTCCGTATTAATCTAGCTTGGTGTTGGCATCGTCACATCTTTGTTGAGCGTGTGAATGCTGATTGTGGAATGTTGATGGCAGTGACCAATGATGTTAATGTGGAGTATAGATGATAGTGTACGTATTGGTAAATGTACCCAAAAAAGCAAACAGCTCCTGTAGACCCTACACCTAGACTGTGTGATCTGGGCTGTCCCATATGAGTGTGAAAAATTGTTAATGAGAATACACATTTTTAAGTTACATTTAGGTGGTCCATTATAGTGTGGTGGTTGGTATCTCACTCCCACATGTTTTAATACCACATCAATCCAGTGATGGAACGCGCAGCCTGCATACCTATCTGCATGCAAAAGAGCTGGTTAATGCAATTTTTCTTTAATACTGTTTTATGTCTGTATTTTATAGGTGATACTCCTGGCGGACATTTTACCAACACTGCTCATCAAGAGCACGGCTCCCTTATTCATTCACCGTATTGCCTACAGGTGATTGTGTTCAGGCATCGTACACGTGCGTGTGCTGCATTGGCACAGTGGGGAGTGCAGGTGCTCCATCTGTCAATCACCCAGTTAATTTAATCCATAACGCCTGCGTGTGTTCCTTGATTAGGTATCTAATGATTGCCCTCTCCTCGATTAAATGAATTGTCACAATTTGGACTTACGAATCAAGAATCAATATTTTCATTTTATTGTTTTTAATTTGTTCTCTCTCATTTTGTCCATGAACCAAATGTAACAGAATGTCCTTTGCATAAATAATCGATTGATTCATCATCAATTGATTCTTGGGTGGTGACATGGCCTAGTTTTTGCACTTTTTCCACTTGTTGCAGGAGTTCACGGTTCGAATCCAGCGGCTACCCTGGTTACTATTATTCATGAAAATACAACATCTGCTTCACAGTGGACGTTGAAGATCATACTCTTTGGTTTTATTCGGTAAAGTCACATAGGTGACTTTAAAGTCACATAGGTGACTTTACCGAATAAAACCAAAGAGTATGAATCCTTGCAGTCACGAAAGCTTCAAATCTAGAGTTAAAGATCATGTGATGTCCTTCACAAGTGGGCTATTGTGTGCCAGCATCATAGTCAAAATTTGAAGAAATTCCTTACAAATTACTCATTTGAGATTACACGTAGCAGTCATCGTCTCAAACTGCAGAGACTTGTCAGGACCCCTCTGACACCCACTGAGGCTATTTTTGGTGAAGCCTAATAAAGAATGAAATGATAAATGCACGACTTGAAGTACGTATCGTGAGGAAACTTAGTTTAATTGATGGATCTTTACACCGTGTGATCCTGTGTGGTTGGGCCTTGACTATTTCTTGTGGTGTCAAATGGACAAGCACACCGATTAAATTTAAGAAATAATCCTTGTTGGTATCTCCTTTATGCATTTTTATTGTGTGTTTCATCAAAATGCAACGTTAACGTGGTAATTGCATGTAATTTGCATAAATAAAAACCCATCAAATACCCTGAGCATGGTGCTGGCCAAACCACCCCCTCGTGTATCATGCCAGCCTTTACAAAGTGCTTGCTTAACAGCACTTGCCTCAACAATCTGGGGGGGGGGGGGTGGGATCTTTGTGGCTGCCTTTGTTTCACGTATTGTTGTATATGTGCATGCATGTGTTACAGGTTCCGCGTAGTTATTTGCGTGCTTACAGCTGCTGCCAGCTTTCTAATCGTCGCGCTATCCAGTGGCGTCATCATGAGCATCATTGGTGAGAGTCATGTCAGTGGACAGAGGGACAGGAGACTTGGGTGACTGGTGACAAAAGGTGGACACATGGGACCAGAGTGGGATGATTACATAAGTCTCAAAAATCTAAACAAAGGCATGTTGATAGTCTTTTAGCCTTCAGAGAACTCTTACAACTTTAAAACAATTTCTAATACATATTTGGTAGGTATATAATATTTAACCCTGCAGTTAATTATTTTTGTGTTTCAGAATCACAAATTCAAATTCAGGAATTAAAATGTTCGCAATTGTGCAGCAATTGCAGTAACGTGTACAAATATGTGATAATCATGCGCAAACAAATTTATCTGTGCATCTTGAGCGTAATAATTTATGTTAATGCATTTACATGAATTATACTTATGGTCGATAGTATTCATTGTAAACGATCTAGGGAGTGGTGGAACAGTGGTTAGCACTGCCGTTTCAAACATCAGTGGTGAGTGATAATCAGGTCCCTGACTGCGTTCACAGACCTACCATGACCAGCGTGAGAAGAATGGCGAAACAATCTCCATAACTGGCTTGTCGGGTTTTCACCGATCGAGAAATTTCCCAGAGTGGGGGTTGATCTTGGGATCTCAAGCTTTTTAAACAGGGCCCTAAATTTATAACAAAAATATAAATCAATGCATTTGCTCTGGTAAATATCAATAAAATAAAATGTTTTGGGGTCTCAAGAGATCCAGCCCTTATATTGCAATAGAAGAATATCACTGTCCCATAACTGCTATTGTATTTAAAGTAAGAATCAATATTTCTTAGAAGTTCTTGATCTGGAGTTTACTCAATATAAGCCTTTCATCAATCTTGGAATAACAGCAACTTTGCAATTTATGACGCTTATCACGCACATGCTGTCTGTTTCACAAAAACAATTAAACAGCTAAAAAAAACTACGAAAATTTACATCTTAAGTGCCATGCTGTCAATTACCGGCTCCATTCCATGCCAATTCAATCAGAGCCGTTGCCCGACCATCTCGGATATTGCTGGAAAATTTTCACCTGGGGGTTTTGGTGCCCGCTGAGTTCACAGATGATGCTCTTATTTTTTTGTAAAAAAAAAAATATTCCCTTCAAGTTGTAACCTTGCATATATCAAACTGAAGTGAAAAAAGTGACCTTGACTAGATATATCACCAATTTAGATGCTTCCATCGTGTGTAGCACCTCATTCGACTCATAATAAACACCGGTTCTTTCGGTAAAGTCACGTAGAATGAGAATAAAATAATAAAGTAAAATAACAATACAATTCTCACGACGTTTCGGCCACAACACAAGTGGCCTTCTTCAGGTGAAAGGAACAAACCTGACAGAGCTTCAATGAAGCTCTGTCGAGAATTTTATTGTGTTATTTTATTATTTTATTCTCATTCTACGTGACTTTACCGAAAGAACCAAAGAAGATGAATCCTTGCAGTCACGAAAGCTTTGAATCAAAAAATAAACACCGGCTTTCAAGAACTCCCTACTAGGAGCGCCCAAACTCACTTTTGGCAGTTTGCCATACTAGGGGTTAGTGATACGTTTTTTTCGAAATCCAGCCCAGCCCCTTAATCTGTGGGGGATGCGGGCACTTTTGTTTAAAGTGCATTAACTTGCTGATTTAGCAAAGCAGACTGTGCTGGCGGGTATGATTACTGCGTGTGTGTCTGTTCCCTTGTGATGGGCATGTGCAGGTGTGACGTTTGCGAGCATCTCTTCGGGGTTGGGCGAACTCACATTCTTGAGTCTCACTGCTCACTTCAAGAGGTGAACCCTCTCACAAACTCCTTCCCCATTGCTTGAACATCGATCCCTGGTGCAGCGTTGGCAGGGAATGCATTGTATCCCCATGTGTCTCTCTATCCCAACATGTTCTCTTGTGTTTCCGCGTGTCCCCATGTGTCCCAATGTGTCCCCATGTGTCCCAATGTGTCCCCATGTGTCCCGTTTTGTCTCCACCTATCCCTCTGCCTCTCCACGTTTCCATTTGTCTCCACCTATTGCTCTGTCTCCATATAGCCACGACTTACTCTGTGCCTCCATGTGCCTCTCTGTGATCCCCCCCTGAGCAATGTTAACACTATCCCCGAGCATGCAGACCGACAAAACCAGGGCGCTAAAGTAGACTGACCTTGGCAGCAGACTTCCCATCTACTCCGACAATCGCATACCTGTTAACCCATACGGTTTACCCGTATTCTTGTACACGGAAATTGGGTTTTCAGTTCCATACGGCATACGGACCTGTTTCTCCCTTGTAATGGGACTTTGTTGGATGAACGTTGATATTTATAAGGGCATGGGGTGACCAATAAGGTCTGAATTGGTCTGTAATGAGGTAGGCACTGATAAGGGGTTGACAGGTATGCAATCGTTCAAACGAGACTCCACAGGAAGTGATGTACAGTATCGGTGTAATCATCTAATCAGATAATCTAATTAGATTATTGTATTATTTGTTTAATAATTTCTGGGATTTTTCTTATTGTGTCATATCTGTTGGTCTTATTTTATGAAGTGATGTTTTACCTGCCATTTGTTTTGTGCTGTACAATCGCTTGTTGTGTTTATTATGTGTGTGATGACTCCTGCACAAACAATAACACCAACAGCATCCCTGGCGTTCTCTCCAGCTGTCATTTTGTTCTTCCTCTAAAGGTGTTCGGCACATGGTACCATGACGTCACTGGCTATACTAGTTTATAAAGGAATATCTACTCTCCGAGAGAGACGTCCGAACAGCTACAAGTATAATCTGGTCATCCTCGTGAGCCTCCCTGGCCCTTCCAGCTGCGAGGCAAAAGTGTAAACACGGCTCTTGTGACTCCATGTGTGCCGATGTGTTTCTGTACATGTCCCCTTGTATTTGCGTCCCCGTGTGTCTCAATTTGTCCGCTTGTCTCTCCATGTATTTCTGTGCATCTGTACTGGCTGAATGTCACTGTGTGGTGCTGGGCTTGCGAGGCCACGGCGGATAATATGTTGTCATTATGTGCAGCCCGGTTACTGGGCGTGGTTGCCAGCCCTAGCGGGGCTTGGGTGAGCGCTGGTTAGTGCAGAAGCACCACGTACAGTGTGCGGTGTGGGCTCCCGGTGACGGAGCGAGAGAGAGTGTCAGCCAGCCAGGGTTACGTTGGGGCATGATACGCTGGTTGACCTGCCGACACGTGACAGGATGATTTTGGGGAGGGGGGGGCACCGGTGGACGGGGGCCGCTGGGCGGTCACGTGGTATAAAGGAGCTCTCGGGAGCCTTCGGGAAAGAGCTCGAGAGATCTAGAAGGTGGGCGGGGCGAGGGGCGGAGCCAGCCCCAGCCCAGGCCGATAATAACGGGGGCCCCGTGAGGGGCTCGGGGTTCTTCGGGTTGTTGGTGAAAAAGATCCACGTCGGATTGAAGAAGCCTCTAGCCACGCGGTCCGGGACCCAGCTCGTTGTCCGGACCGGGATAGCGGGACCATGTATAGTTCTGCCGTAGCGTGGCTAGATGGGCGTTCAACACCCAAGTGTAGGTTACGTTATGTTGTGTTGAGTTGACGTAATAAATAGTGTTGCTCCCAAGACAACGTCTGCGACTCAGTTGGACTCACTACACATCTATAAAAGTCTATTTGTCTCCTTGTGGCTTAGTGTCTCTGCGTCCCTCATACCCCCATGTATGCTTATACCTACTTGGGTCCTCCCTGTGTCGACCCATGTGTCTCTGTTTGTCTGTGTCTACATGTCCCCACATCCGGTCATGTTCCTGCATCTCCGTTCCTCCCCGAGTGTCCCTGTATCCATCTTTATTCCCCTGGTATCCCTGCTTGTCCTCATGTCTCCCTGTCTCACTTTGGCCTTGCATATCCACATCTTCATGTGTGTCCCCCTATTCTGCTTTGTCTGCACATATGCCAGTGTATCCTCTATCGCCGTGTCTCCCGCTGATTCACTTGTGATTGTCCGTGTCATCTTGTCCCTGTCTCTCCTGCTTGCCCCACGCTTTATCCCATGACTGGTAATTTGGGATGCGAGTGGTGCGTCTTCCAGGGTATTCCGTTGTCTCCACCACACGTTTCCGTGCCTGTGCACGTGTTTCTTTATGCATCTCTGTGTGTTCCCAGCTCTGTCCTGCGGTTCTGGTCCTCGGGCACGGGAGCGGCCGGCTTGGCTGGGTCCCTTTCGTACTTGGGCTTCACCCAGGCCGGACTCAGCCCTAGCGCCACGCTGTTCATCATGCTGTTCGTGCCCCCTCTCATGGCAGCCAGGTGAGAGTGTGGCACCTACAGCATCGGCCTCATTGCCATCGTCAATAGCATTATCAGCAGTCACCAATGACATCACCTGTAACGTTATCATCATTTGCAGTGGGTCTGTAATCATGCACCAATTCATTGATTATTGATTATAAGCATGATACATGTATACAATTGTGCGTGTGCAAATACAATATTTTCGATCTTCTACATTCACCACAATGTTCTTCTAAAGAGTATCGATTCTTGTATTAAATTATTGTGTTTCATGGAAATCACTAAATCGCACGTGTGAGCATGTCTGCATATGTGCACAAGCACGTGTATGTGTCTGTGTGTGCATGTGCCTCTGTGAAGTTGCGCATGTGCGTGTGTCTGTGTGCGTGCTCGCATGTGCAGGATGTGCATGATTTTAATCCATAAAAATCAGAGGTTCTGCTGGTTGGCACTCAGGTTCGGGCGAAAAAAATTGTGGGAGGATCGGGTGCGGTGGTCACTTACTCCAGGATTAATATTTCTTCTCGTTTAAAGAGCCTCGGCACCATACTCAACCAGAATATGTCGTTTGATCACCACGTGCAAAATATAGACAGGTCCTGCAGTTTTCATATCAGGGCTCTACGACACATTCCACCACTATTGAGTCGTGACAGAGCCATCATGGTGGCGTGCAGCATAGCATCGACAAGGCTCGATTATTACAACTCGCTACTCTACGGGACGTCTGCCAAAAACATTACCAACCTGCAGCATTTACAAAACTCTTTGTCACGTGTCGTGATGGGTACTGCAAGATCCGACCATGCCCGTCCAGTGCTCGCTGAGCTGCATTGGCTTCCAGTTGCTGAATACATTATATGGTCGTACTCGTTACACACAAAGTGCTTGCCAGAATTGAACCATAATACCTTGCTGATCTCATCAGGGAATATAAACTATCTCGCAAGCTTCAGTCATCCTCGCAGAGGCTTTTAACAAGGCAGTCGCTGCATCGCACGCTTTCAGATGTGCTTCAACAGCCATCTGGAACACTTCCAATATTCGGAAGCCACTGGAGTTATGCACTTCAAAATTTAGGGATTCATATTCTTGGTTCTTTCGGTAAAGTCACGTAAGAAGGGAAACAATAAAATAATAAAAATATTTATTGTTTTATATTTTTATTATTTTATTGTTTCCCTTCTACATGCTTTTTGTGTTTAGTTTGTTGTCCTTCCCCCGCACCTCCTATTAGCACGGTTGGCTATGTGCGGTACAAATGAACTTCAACATACATACATGATTTTGCATTTGTTTGCTTGCATGTGTGTGCTTACGAGCAGAACTTGTCCCAACAGTCTGTGAAGGCTATACTGGGGATTCTTTGTTTTTGTGTAAGTGTCTGTGTGTGTGTCAACTCGGCCTCAAATGAGTACCCGGTGCGGTGTGTAAACATCGCGACGCGGGAGACAAGGGCGTTGTGCTGGCCACCCAACCCCCTCGTGTGCCGTGCCGGCCTTCATAGGTGCTCACCAACAGCACTTTCCCCAACAGTCTGTTAAGACTATACAGTGGATCTTTGTCCATGTGTGTGTGTGTGTGTGCAGCTACTGGTTGCTGCTGGTTTTCCCACCCGGATGGAGCCAAAGAGAATGTGGCAACTCTTGCTCATTGCGGCCCCCCGCGGCAGAGGAGTCGCAACGGCCACTCTTGGGTGCAGATTCCGATGATCTGACCCCTGACCCCAACAACGAGCACTATGGTAAAACTGCGACGGGTAAACACGAGTTGAAAGCAGAGCAATTCAATCACAGGTTTCTTTTTCATTGGCCTTTTTCTTCAACACTCGAGGACACTTAATCAGGCCGTGTAAATAGTGATTCACCTTGTGTCGGTACTTCAATATATTTACAAATGTCAGCCCTCAAAGCTGTGCCAGACTGAATTAACTTAACTGAATTGCTTTGTTGCACAGTCGTTGTGATAAACTCATTACATTGGAGAACCCAGTTAATTTACATGTGGATGAAACCTGGATATGAATCTAGGATCTCAATGGTGGCAATTTAGTTCTCCAACATTATGAGCCCTCTAAATAACTCAGCCACTTCAATAAATGAACACCAAGTCTACTTGCTATGTTTCCATGGCCATTAGAAATCTGATCCGAGCCGTGCTGAGCTGTTCTTGGTACGGAACCGGCACAGCTTGTCCCTTATTCTTAGCTCTTTCGGTAAAGTCGCGTTGAAGGGAAACAATACAATAATAAAAGATATAATATAAAATATATATTTTATTATTGTATTGTTTCCCTTCAACGCGAAATTACCGAAAGAGCTAAAATAATAAAATATGTTATATTATATATTTTATTATTGTATTGTTTCCCTTCAACGTGACTTTACCGAAAGAGCTAAGAATATGAATTACTGCAGTCACGAAAGCTTTAAATAAATAATTTAGCTTGTTCCTTGTCACAATGCTGCGAGAACCACGCGACACTGAGGCCGGGGTGGCCCACTCCATACCCCCTACCCCATCTTTTCTCTCCACAGCTAGAGGGAAGCAATAATAAAAAAATAGCTTCAATGCAGGGTTAGGTTTTACTATTCCAAGGTAAAGTTTATTTATTATTTTTATTCACTTCGGGATCATGTTTTTTTCTCGTAAATACACCAACCTGACGTTAACATTGCACATAGTTCTGGTTGTTATTATTCATTTGTTATGTTTATAACATGTCCCTGCTTTTGTATTATGCATTGCCTGTAAACCCTTCCTTCCCATGTAACCTGCTTACTCTTTTGACCATGTCACCATTGAAAAAGTGCTTCTTAGCTCAATGGGCCTTTGGTGAAATAAACTAATTGAGAGACACCAATAACCGTCCACCTGATTTTCAATAAGCCGTGATGTCATGACTGGTTCAGAGGTTAAGTGTGCAGCTGCCTTCGAAAAGTGGGTGACACGGCCCTCTAGTAGCGGGGTACATGGCCCGGTTGGTGCCTACCCCAGCGAGGCTGTCCCCTCTTGCCCAGTTCATGATTGCTTATCAGTTGTTGGTGTAACATTGCATTGGGGCACTTCCAGATATTTTTATGATTTAGTATAACAGACCCCCTCTTGAGTCGAATCGCCATAACTTGAAACCATAAGTGGGGAGTCACTCGTCATATTTTTTTTCACAGGTTTGGAAAATGACATTCTTTCCTTTAAGGATAAGTGGCTTATTGTGAAGGTGAGAGAATATGAAAGTGACAACGTGGTGCTTATAGAGATGATGTTGATTATGCTGTTGTAGCAGATGTCAATCATGATATTATTGTGAATTTAGTTTTCATTGTTTGTGGTGAAGAAGTCGATTTAAATTAGGTGATGTTTACGGTGATATAAATCATGATAATAATTATATTGGTGATGTGATTGTGAAATTGTTGGTGTTCAATATACAATCGACAATGGTGACAGTAATTTTGAACTAGTTATGATTTTAATTGTAATGACATTGATACTGTTAATCATATCGTGTTGATGTTTATAAGCATGTTAAATACAGTGTACCATTTGTATATATCGTAAATTGTATTATAATGAATGTTGACCTATTGTTGCATGTTTAAAGGCTAATTAAACACAATAAGCACAGCGCCATCTAGCTGCATGATGATATTAGTGACAAACATGCTATTATGGTAATTGTAATGAATGTAATGCTACTTTTGGTGGTGGTGATGTTGATGTCTCCAGAGTTTGCTGAGGTTCACCATCCCCCTTGCTGTTGTGTACTTTGCCGAGTACTTCATCAACCAGGGCTTGGTGAGTCTGCCGGTTAGGTACCCGTTTGTCCTCATAACACAAACGCGTTCCTCTGAAGTTGAGGAACTGTACGTCTTCTTCATTTGTCAACAAGAATACTGTAACTACACATGTAGTTAACCATCAGAGCAGGACATGATCATCGATAATATACAGAACCCTTACGTTTTATTGTCTAGAGCCCTTGTCTCCATTGAAATGTCAGCTATTTTTTTGTCCCATTTTAATTTAATAATAATCCTTTAAATGCTAAAATAGCCTCCTTTGCAAAACACCATCAATATGTACAAACTGCTGTTATTGACTACGACATGATTCGCTGTTGACTACGATCTTACTGAGACATTTTACTTACAATTGTGTATTGCCTCACCCATTCATAGAGAACACTCCAATAAGGAGGTTTCACAGAGATTAAATGATGTTTTAGTGCGCTGTAATTTGTGTGTTGGGGCTGAAACCATCAATGTACCACACTTGAGAATGCGTTTTTATCACGAGTGGCTGAAACCCACATAGGAATCCAGGATCTTAGTGGTGCTGAATGAATCTTGACTTAAAGCTTTCGTGACTGCAGGAATTCATATTCTTTAGGTCTTTCAGTAAAGTCACGTAGATATGTTAAAATAAATTAACAATAAACTATGAGGTTTCTATCGCAACACAAGCGGTCGTCATCAGGAAAAGCAGAAACGTCGTATTTTTGTTAATTTTTTTGAACCTATCTACGTGACTTTACCGAAAGACCCAAAGAATATGATCCTGAATGCTTGGATGCCTGGGCTATGTAGCCACCTCACTCATTATTTTATTCCGTCAGGCTTAATTCCAACGATCAATGGCTAGATTTATTATGAGCTGCCTGGGGCTCACTTGGCTGATGTGTGTGTGGTTGTGTTTTCTTTCATTACAGTTTGAGTTGCTCTATTTTCCAAACTATTACCTAAGTCATGGGGATCAGTACCGCTGGTGAGACCTCATTCACACTCCACCCCTAACTGTGTAAATATGAATGTGTTTTCATGTTTTGGGCATGTGTGGATGTGTTTATGTATGTGCATGTCAAATAATGATAATAATTTAAAGCTCTTTGTCAATCCACATTTATTAGTTACAGTGTATGCTTAAGCTCACGCTACATGCATAACATTACGCATGTAAAGACTGATTCTTTTCAATATGTATGTGAAATTTCAGCAGTTAAAGATGCTACTTACACCACATTAACACAATAATATATATATTCTTTGGGTCTTTCAAAGAATATGAATTCCTGCAGCCACGAAAGCTTTAAGTCAACAATAATAGATGTTTTAATAGAATAGCAACACTAATTCGTGACGGCCCATTGAATAATTGCTCCTCGCTTAGTCGATGTTTGAATGTGCATGTGAATATGGCTGTCATGCTGTGGTCACAATGCCCGAGTCATATTCATGAGGCCATGACTTCAATTCTTGGATGGGAGGTCATATATAATGATAATTACTTTGTAGAAAATCAACAAGCAGACCCACCTCTGCCATGGGATTGTGGAATTTTCACGCCTGGTGATGATTAGCACCAACCTATGTTTGTTTAAGCAAGGATACATTTTGACTTTTGCAAAAAAAAGTTTGTTTTACATGTCTCAATGTAGTATGTGTATACATGCAGGCTAGCCTGCGTATGATCCATTCTGGTTTAACCACACTGGATTGTGTGAGGAGCTCACAGATCTTTGAAAGATCTGGACAAAGTCCCATCAGTGAGCTCCTCAGGCAAGCGAGGATGCATTGGCTGGGTCATGTAGCCTGAAAACCTAGCCACTGTATGCTCAAGCAGCTTCTGTTTGGTCGGATAGAGGGGGCTAAATGGGCGAAGCACGGATTAGAGAAGAGATGGACTGATGTGATACAGAAAGATGTGGAGGTGATTGGACTTGGCGATGACTCGTACCAGCGGTGTCAAGATCAGCTTCTTTGTAGGAGGTTTGTGAAGCCAGTCCACCCTCCAGTAACAACGGTGGGTGGAAAAGCGATGCTCGCAGCAATGACCGAAGTGCTGGGTGGCTAAATTTTAGAGAGGTGGCACGGAGGGGAACATGCTGCATCAGCCAGTCATCTCAAGTCAACCTATGGCACCTGGGTCTGTTCCGTGACCTCCTGCCAGCGAGTCTTCGACACTTCATGTGGCGTCAAAGTGTACTTAGCACGGCACAAGTGCCGTGGTAACGTCACCGCCACTCCACTAAGTGGTGAACAGTAGTTGTTATTGTATATATACGTGGAGCGGCGTCACGGTGGTTATGTGTACTGTGATACGAACCCCGTGACTTCAGTTCAATTCCCAGCCATGGAAAATACCATTGGCGAGCAGTGTCATAACTTGTTCTGTACAGCTCCTAGGACAACCCGGCCTTTAATGAATACCTGATGCAATGTGTAAGCATGAACACTGGGGAGACGAGGGCAATCGAGCGTGGGGCTGGCCACACCCCCTCATCATGCACCTCGTCAGCCTTAATAGGTGCTCACTGACAGCACTTACCCTAAACATCTATAAGCGTCAGTGTGGGATGTTGGTCTTTATTTGTGTGTGTGTGTGTTAGGTACCAGGCCACCTATCAGTTCGGGGTATTCATGTCTCGCTCGTCAGCTCAGTGGGTCCGAATCTCGCGCACCTGGATTCTCGCTCTGCTGCAGGTAACTTGCCTAACTCATCGTCACTTTTCTCATTTGTGTCATTCACCTGTAACAAAAGAGCTAAGGGACTGCATTGTTGAAGTCTATTTACAACAACTTACACCATTCATCATTAATATTACTTTATATAAAATCTGAAATTTCAGGAAGAAATGACCTTTAATTTAGTGCAGAAGTACAATTTCCAAACTTGTTACCTGTTATGTGTGTTCCTGGGTTAAATACATTAGGGTTAAATATTTTATTATTACTGCGAGTGCTCTGCTGGTCAGGGATTTGCTAAACTTGTTAGGGGCGGGGTTGGTGCTGGGCCTGTGAGAGGGTTGGCAAAGCTTATTTGTTTCAGGGCTACGCATGTTTGTCTAAGGTTATAGCAGTGAAGGTTGGGCTTAGGAGTACTTAGCCTCCGGCTACATCTGCTAACATTAGGGCTGGAATCATTAGGGCTAGGCCGTAAATGGAATCAAATCATCAACTACTGCATGGTGACAAACCCATATGCGAGTGCCAGCTCGATATGGGCTCGCGCCACGACTAAAGCCATGCACAAACACAAACGCGTGAATGCGTTGATGGTGACTTCGCCTTCGACGACACACGGTCGTGCATGCACCGTCCCCCACCCCTGCAGGTCATCAACCTCATCGTGTTTTTCTTCCTCGTCTTCTTCACGGTGCTGCCCACGTTTTGGCTGGCACTGCCCATTATCCTGTGGGAGGGGCTGCTCGGAGGGGCGGCCTATGTCAACACGTTCCTCAACATCAGTGCAGAGGTTTTGAAACGCCGCTGCTTTTCACGTGTTCACTCGTGAACAGTCTTGCTCGTGTTTACCCTGTTTATTCATTCACTCAATAACGTGTAATTTACTGAGGCATTCACTTGTTTGTAAAGTCATCTATTCATTTAGTCGTTTACTGGTGCATTCTTACATTCATTTTGGCCACATGCTTGTTTCCTAGTCTGCTACTTTGTTCAATGAGACGTTTGTATTTGACCATACGCCACCATGCTTGAGCCTGTCAGAGGCCAATGGCACCCGTAGTGGGGACCCCGGTTAAACTGTTGTTATTTGTCAATTCACGAGTTCATATTCTCATCACTTGCTGCTCATGTATCTTGTGTCTGTGCGTGTTTCCGTGTCTCATGCCAGAGGGATAAGCGTCGCCGTGAGTTCTCGCTGGGCGTGGCGAGCGTGGCGGACACGCTGGGCATCGCCTTGTCGGGCGCCACCGCCATTCCTCTCCACGACTACCTGTGTGCCCTCTGACCCCTCACTTCATTGGCTCTAAGAGTGCAATCTTCAGGGACCATGACGCATCACCCTGCAATATACCAGCATCAATGACTGACAGAACAAGCACTAACAACATTGCACAACCACAACACCACTATCTCCACCACCTTTACTGGCCTCAGAACCCTCACGGTACACAACATGGCCACCACCGCCTCATCATAACATCATTGCCACACAGTAAAAACTCTGAAAGCTCAATTAGGGGGAGATCCTTTCTGGTGATGGTGGTTGATGTCACGCATCCTGTAATTAATGTGTAACACTTAAATGTACCTTACGTTTAACTAGTATATGATCGCAAACAACTGTTACTAAATTTTAATATATAGATATACTGCAAATATAACTGCAGTTGAATCTGTGTTGCTTGCCACCATACAGAGAGACAGATGGCTCAGTAGTGTTTATTATGGGCTTCACGAAATCGGCAATCTTCTTCCAGTAAGTACTATGCAGTCGTCATCAGCCATTATCTATCCACAGCTAGATGAAGGCCTCCCCATGCCATCGCCATTCTTCCCGTTCCACTGTGCTATTACCATGCGGTGGTCATCCTCTTAGACGTGACTGCCATCCCTTCAGCAGTCTCGTCCATCAGCCATCATTCCGTCTCGCCCCGTGTCCTCTAAGTATGATTTGTGTTCGTTCCCTGATCCATGTGTTCTGTTTTCTGTCTCGGTGTAATTCCAATCATGCATCTCTCCATGCCTCTGTTCAATGTTCAAATTTTGTTTCAGTTTCTTTGTCAGTTTCCTTGCTTCTGATGCGTGTGTCACAGCTGGCAGTATGCACTGATTGAAATCTCTCTTCCTCGGACACTTTGGTACGCTTCATTCCATTGATGTGGAACTTTCGAAAGGCACTTTCCATTCTGTTTACTAATAAATGCACTGGATAGTAATATTTATTTGAACAAAAATATTAATGTTCTTACATTAATTTTCCAAAAACATATATACAAAATATACTGTAAAACAATGCTTAATTGTAAAAAAAACATGTACAGAAAATTAGAAAATGGATAAATGAGTGTGCAAGGTTATCACTAGTAGATCACGTGTTCACTCGCGAGCCTTTCACGTGATCTGCAGCCTGTGATCTTGGCTCAGTCACTTTTGGGTATCTTCAAAGCAAATTAAATACATGTATTCAATTAGTTGACAACTTAGGATTTAATTTATGCAGAACGCTGTATGCTGAGCACAGCTTACCATAGGAAGAGTGTTCCTTGTGGAGATTATTTTTTTTCAGGGAGCATCTACGGCTTTACTCTGTCCAGAGGTTGTACTAAACAAGTAAACAACGCAACTGCACCACCAACAGCATATATGCCAACACCTTCAACATCAACAATCATGATCACATTCACTGCCAACTAACACCTTGAACTGAACTGTCAACACCACAAATGCCTTTTTGGAATTCCCTTGCTTTTTCTAATTTGACTTGATTAGTTGAATAAAGCCATTGCTCTATTCGATTCTGAGATAAAATATTTAAAGTGCAATGTACATATAAAAGTAGTAATCGTCACTGTTTTAGTCCCTAATGTGTCCCAGTGCTACTGTCATTAACGATGACCACAAATGCATTTTGGAATGTCCTTTTTATAATTTTACTTAGTTAAATAAAGCCATTGCTGTATTCGACTCAAGAGAGAAAATATTTTAAAGTACAATGTAAATATAAAATGAGGAGTAATCGTTGTTGCGTTAGTTGGCTAATGTGTCCCAGTGCAATTGTTATTAACAAACAGGGTGCTGTTCTCGTCTGACGAACAATCGCACACGTGATTGCTTGAAATATAGCTGTGATGACAAAATGATAACTGAAGAGACGTTTGTTTTATTTGCCTGTCGCCATCACTAACGATTACATACATGTAAACCGATCATGATCACTGTTAAGCGGCCCTTGTTCACATAGGATAGATGCCATGCTGGATGTGGGGGCGTGTAATTGAAGTGGCGAAACATGCCTCCAAGTTGTGTTTTTTTTTTAACAAACTCGTGAGATGCTAATGGCAGCACTTCCTCGTAGGATAAACGTACGTTATTAGTTATGGGGTGTACATATATTTTCTCCTGGAGTTGTGCCATGGCAATTCTGGTCACATGCATTTCATCTGGGAACTACATTTTTCAAAGTTTTCTGAGTATTTTAAATGTGTTTTTTTTATTCTATCGAGTATCCTCAACTATGAGTGACTGCCGATGACAGATGCTTTCCACCTTTGGCGATCTGCAGCATCTCTTGGATTTCAAGTTCCAGGGACCAAGAAGAAATTGCAGCCTCAGCCAAGAGAGCTCATTAATATTCATGAAGTTGCATTGTGACAATGGTTAATGCTCTCATTGTATTCACAATGGTGCATGTCGTGAATATTAATAAATCACCTGATATCCAAAGATCACTGTGCTCTATAGGTGCTTGAGACGTGGAGCCAATATAATGGTGAGTCAAGGTTCTTACGGTTTAATATACGCTCAAGATTTAAAAAAGCCATAATAAGCCATAGGTAGTATTTGGCTTAATTTACCACACCCAAGATTTAAATAGCCATACGAAAACATTTACAATTCCTAGGTTTATTTTGAAGTGTCAGAGATTACAACAACAAAAGATGATATTCAGAACCCTGCTCGGATAGAAGGAATATCCGGTGACATCGTATGCGGCCGCCTTGTTAATAATATTGAATGATTTGTGTAAAATGTAAGAAGTGATGTAATTGAATCTTGATAAACACATGAATCCTGATGTAGAGACGGCTGATAGCAGGTGATTGTTCCACTTTAGAGTGGTCTCTGATTGGATCTCAGGTTCTTCCTGAAATGGGAGGCTTGAGACTTGGCGATAAGCAATGAAATCATGACTTCCGGTTCACGCATATTAAAATGTTAGAAAAACGTAATATTTTCCAATTTACACTTTAGGTTAATTCATAGAAATATACTTATGTTTATATCGTTTATATGGTCTGCCCTTGTATACATAAACAGCATGTACATAACATGGCATAAATGCATTTACTGTACTGTGCATTATACATGGGGCTTCTTGATTTTTGGTGTCAATTATATTATTGGTGTGAATTTTTTTTCCCCCCACTCCAATAATTTGGGTTTCAGTGCTTTCACTTTTTAATGCACTGTAATGGGTTCCGCATTTGAGCTTTTAAAGAAGCCAGTGATAATAAAAATGCATTGAAAATAAAGTTACGATTTTATGACGAGAAAGCGTTCATGTTTATATTTTTAATTCTACTGGGAAATAGTGTGTCGAGGGATCTGTTTATTTCTTTATTTTTGCCTGTAATTAAAACTGTAAACCTATTAACGTTGGAATAATTAGGGGGAAGATGCTTTGCAGTTAATGGGAACTTTCTGGCAAACTTGATAATGTCATTGTTTACATTCAACTTTATCCACTGTTCGATGAAGTCATCCCCAAATGGTCTTGCAATGCAAAAATCCATCGAGTTCCTGTACACGAGCTGATGCAATTGCCCCATCCCTGCTGTGTGCCACCATACAGACTGCCACAAATGCCCAATTAGTTACATTCCTGGAAAATGCAATGTTGGGGAAAACCGCGTTCAACAAATAATATACTTTATGGGGAAAATGGGGTTTGTTTCCCTCTTAAACTGTTTTAAGTAATTCTACAAGATGTATGCCCTTGTTATTGTATAAAAGTCGCTCTCCATTTCTTGTGTTTACTCTTTATTTAAAAATGTCACCTCAAACCAAAACCTCAGTCTTACTCTCCCGCGGCACTCACGCCCAGCGCTCGCCCCTGACACTGAATTCCCAGCCCGACGCTCGCCCCTAACTCTGAATTACCAGTTCGACGCTTGTCCCTAACAATATTACTTTGTTGCATATTTGCCTTTTCCATTTTTTTTCCATGGGATATTATCTATTTTGAATGCCGCAGTTCCTTGTAAACATATTTTGTGTGTTCATTATGTTTCGAGAGTTGAAAAAACAGATTGGGCAAAGGCAAAGCAGCAGCAGAATAAGAAGTTGGAAAACAAAACAGGCTTGATGGCTTGGGATGATTATACGTGGCACAACCACGTGAAACTCTTTTCTTTAGCGAACGCAGAGACGACCAGAAAGGCCATGAATATACACCCTGCTGTTATAAAAGTACCCATGGCCAGTGCCGGATTACCCTAGTAGCAAAAGTAGCTACACTTTCAAGGGCCCCGTGCTAAATGCTTTCAAGCTATCAATTCCAGTTCAGTGATTCGGCACTTGCTCGATTACTATAGTACTATACCGCCTTCAACTTTTATGAACGACTGGGTGTTTAAGGTTAGCGATTTGTCGTATTATCTGGCTGCAGAACAAATGGAAAAATACAATTAATTTACTATGAAAGTAAAAATTAGTGTTTTAATATTTGGGTTTTTTTTTTTTTAATTTAGGGCCCCTTATAACATATGCTACAGGCCCCGCACTAGCTTAATCCCGGCACTGCCCATGGCAGGAAACCTGCCACACTCAGCATCAGAGCTGTTTTAATTGGATAGTTGAAACACTGATGGCCGCATATGAATATTCATTAACATCATGGTACTATGAGAATAGGTTTTCCCCTTTTTTCTGGTAACAAAACAGGTGTTAAGATGTTAAAAATCCAAACTGAAACCTTTTACAAGGAATCATGTCTGCATTAACCACAATACTTGTGGTCAGAATGCAAACAAAAAACATACTCTAATAATATATGCATTGTCTTTGAAACTGATTGATCCACACCAGAGACGGCTTTCTTTCGAGCCCAGTCTCAAGCGGTGTTAGACCAGAGGAATTAAAAAGGCGTACTTGTCTAACACCGTGGTTAATGCAGACATGATTCCTTGTAAAAGGTTAAGTTAAGTGTTTTAACATCTTAACACCTGTTTTGTTGCCAGAAAAAAAGGGGAAAACCTATTCTCAGATTTTGGTACTGGCAAAGGAGGTCCCATGATCATGGTACTACATTGTACATTTGATGATAGGACGTAACACTACATGACCATGCAGCCCAGGGTCAAACTTTTTTTAAGATGACTATTTTGCATGGTTTTAACAACAATTACTGTTATTAAAATATATGCCATAACATCTGGGTTAAGCATGTGACATTTGATGATATTATGACAGTTCATGTTGAACATAAGGTTCATTCAGAACAACAATATCTATTTTAATGTATATCTGAATTATTACAATTCTCCACGACCAAATATGATATGTACTCAAGGGTGTATGACTAGGGCCATGCCCGACCGCCTTTGTCTCACCAGTAGCGATAATTACTTGCCACACTAGGTATTTGGGAACCAAGACCAGTTTGGATGAACGCCACTGTATTGATCGTGAGTGGGACTCTAACTCAGCAAACCAGGCACGATACGAGAGGGCAAACAAGACATAAACCAGAGGAAAGGAGGCCGTTTTCACACCTAAACACCTGCTAAACAAAAACAATACTTGCCATTCGCCACTAAGTGGTGGTGACATCACCAGGGCGCCTGTGCCAGGCCAGGTGCACTTTGAGGCCACGTGAAGTATCAAAGGTTCGCTGACAGGAGGTCACGGGACAGACCCAGCAGGTGCCATGGTGACTGAGATGACTGGTAGGTGCACCAGCTGTACCCCCTACTGTACCAACTTGCTGTATTTTAGCTGCCCGGCACTCCGCTTGTTGTGAGCATCGCTCTGCCCTCTGTTGTTGTTGGAGTGCGACTGCCTCCAACTGTCCAGTAGCATCCTTTATGAGCCTCCTCCATAGAGGCCGATCTTGATACCGCTGGTACCAGCCCCCGGTAAGTCCACTCAGCTCCATATAATTATATACTTCATGAGTCCATCTCTTCTCCAGCCTGTATCATGTCCGTCTGTCCGGCGAAACAGAAGCTGATTCGGCATGAGGTGGCTGGACATACGGGCTACATGACCCAGTCAATGCAGGGTTGCCTGCTGGAGGAGCTCACTGACGAAAATGTGTCCAGATCTTTCAAGGATTTGTGAGATGCTCACACAATCCAGCCTGGTTAAACCAGGCTGGATTGTAGGCAGGCTGAATGTTTCTAACCGACGCATGTGTTCCATTCGAGGGGTCCACGTTTCACAAGCATAGAGAAGGGAGGACATAACTGTGGCCAAGAAGACCTGAAGCTTTGTGTGGCGCAACAGACTAGGTAGCTTTTACACAGCATTATGCAGCCGATTAAAATTTAATTCCGCCAAACTGATTCTGTTGTCAAACCGGAGCTTGTCATAAGCATACTGCCCAGGTATGGAACACTTTCCGCTCTCTCCACAACTGCTTCATCACCAACGGGAGGTTGAGGGAGTGGAGCATTTGATGGCACAAAATACCCAGGCAGGTGCTTAGTTTTGGTGGGGCACACTCCTGATTCAGCAGCAGCGTATCCAATTCCTCCTCTGAGTGAGCAGCAACTACCAGACCATCAGTATACATAACATGGTTGACCAACAGGAAGCCATCCCTCGACCGCACCCAGGCATCGATCAGACTCCCATTGTATCTGCAACAGATGGAAATTCCTCTGGTATAGCCACAGAAATGCTACTTGAACTTCGTGGTCAAAGATGATGTTCAATAATGTGGGAGCCCAGAGGACATCCCAGACCTGCACACCATCATGAAAACCCAAAATAATTGTGAGCAGGAAGAACAGCTCAGAGCCTGTTGATGGTATCACAGGCCTTGACCAGGTCAATAAAACAGAGATGTAGGTCTTGTTGGAATTCTCTTCACCTCTGCTGGAGCAGACAGCGAATATGGCATCCGTAAAGAACCACCCTGGTCTTAAACAACTTTGGTGCTCCACAAGCCTCTCCTCAGTGTGCCTGGTAAGGCGAAGTTGAATATATAATAATTGCCAGGACCTTTCCCAGCACGTTGATGAGTGAGAAGCCCTTGTAGTTGTTACAATCTGTGCGGTCCCCCTTCTTAAAGAGTGGGACCACCAGGGCATCTATCAAATCCTGCAGAACCCATCCTGTGGTCCAACCAGTTGTGATGATGTCATATAGGGCAGTCTGCACACGGTCGTCACCGTCAGCAGATGGCACCTCAGACAACCACTCACAAGGGGCGGCTACTTCTGCCAATATTTGAGGCACGGCTGCTCCAGCAGGGTTGTCTCGGCTGAGGGAATTCCCCTCCTCCAAGACCTCATAGAAATGCTCTGTAAACCTGCAGACCTATTTCTGGGGGTCGGATCACTCTTCTTTCCCTTAAAGATGGTGACAGCATACCTGTCAACCCCTTATCAATGCTTACCTTATTACAGACCAATTCAGACCATATTGGCCACCCCGTGCCCTTATAAACCCCAACGTTCATCCTACAAAATCCCATCCATCACAAGGGAGAATCACAAACAGATAGACAAAATATTGTTTTTGCCCGTATTAAAACGGCTGTACGCCGTATGGACCTGAAAACTCAATTTCCCTGTACAAGAATAAGGGGCAACCCGTATGGGCTGACAGGTATGTGATAGTTGTGGTGCTGAGAGTCACTTTTTTGATGGAATTTGTGATCGCGAGCTACTGAGGCAGACTCCATATCCTCAGCAAGCCCGCGGCCACCACTCATCCTTGCAGCGCCGCAACTGATGTAGCAACTAATCTTGATTTGAAGCTTTCGTGACTGCAGGAATCCATACTCTTTGGTTATTTCGGTAAAGTCACGTAGTTAGAAATACAATAAAACAAATCAGTGATTTGAAATCAGTGATTTGTTTCATTTGATTTCTAATCTTCAAACTTAAATAAAACAAATCAGTGATTTGTTTTTTTTAAATCGTATTTCTAACTACGTGACTTTACCGAAAGAACCAAAGAGTATGATGTAGCCACTCTCAGGAGATGATAATTTTTTAGCAGCGTCAAAACCACCGTATAGCCAAAAACATCACCCCCGTATTCCGGAAAACAATACCTCGTTAGGTAAACAATGTATAGCACAAACACGCGTTCGATAAGCCGCGCTGGGCAAGGTTTTCCTGTAGTGTTTGTTCCAATTCTCGTGAGACCCGGCAGCCACTAGAAGCTGCTTCTCTTAGAGGCCAGCTGCACTCATCACAATGTAAACAAAAAAATATTTCTAGAATGACGACCCCCAATTAAATTAATCGCGATAAAAAAATCGAATTCCTCAGAGTTGGTGACGTTTACAACCCTGATTAAAACGCGTGTGAAATGTGCAT